AAAAAAAAAAAAAAAAAAAAAAAAAATTTAAAAAAAAAAAAAAAAAAAAAGAGAGTTCAAAGAAATAGAATTCGAAGAAATATACCTTCTACCGACAAATGATGAAAGCATAATCAGCTTTAAATTTCTACCACAGTAAATTTCTTAAAATGATTTCTTCGAAGTTGGAATCATATACTTCTTCGTATATGTTAATGGATTTTTTGCTTTTTCTTCATTTGTTCTAGAATAATTGATTAAAATATAATTAAAAATGTAAGCAAGTGGACTCACCTAGGTAATATCAACATTATTGTGGCTTCTCGTGGAAGTTATTTACTCTTCTTAAAAATTGTGTCAAAGTGATATAAAATTGATTAATCTTTTCATGAGAGTAAAGTAGACATTTTGATCTAAAAATTGGACATTTTTGAAGGGATTATAAAAAAAGTACACTTTTCAACTCCAACCTTTATAATTGGATATTCTTGAAAATGCCTCTTTTTTTAATCATCCATACAACACTTTCTTAACGTTACAGAAGCTGGACTATTTTGCTATCTCGAGGATGGCTTTCTTTGGCAATGCCTACCACATGTAGCGTGCACTTTTTTGCTATCACACTACAAGAAATATATGCTTTCCCTACAAAATTTTATTGATAAATTGAGATTATTTATCTGCGGAATTCACTTTTCCCCAAAAAAAATGTTTCGTAAAGTTATGTTTTAATTCAAAATTTTTAGCATTAGAGAAATTCGTGACCACAAAAATTTATCTTTTCCCAACAAAGAAAAATATATCTTTTTCCAACAAAAATATTAGACCTCTTTGTAGGCTAATAATTAAGTTGAAAAATTATCAATTACTATCTTTAGTTCTAGTCCCACAAATTATATTTGAAGTTAAAAGATTACTAAACTCCCGTTTATTTTTCATTTTTAGAAGAAAGAGAATGAAAATTATAGTCGTTACGGGCTCCATACAAGAGATAGAAATTCAAATTTGATAATTAAATATGATGGATAACGATTATATTTTTCATTTTAATGGGAAAAGTATGAGAAACAGACAGGGCTAAAATAAAAAATGAAAATACATTTTTGTAAACAAAATTCAAAAATAAAACCCTCTCTTGCCGTCTTCAATCACCCACGTAATTAGTGATTAAAATATTCCCCCAAAATTTCATTCCCTCTCTTGCGGTCTTCAATCTTCTTTACCTCCAAAAAATATTCTCCCAAAATTATTCAATTCCCTCCCTTTGAGAGAGTTGCTTAATTTGCCTAAACCTAATTTCTTCAATTGATGCACAGTATATTGATCATCAAGAAATTTCGGCTTCATGTACAGATTTTTGTGATATTCTTCAATTGATGCCCTCTTTGCAATAAGCTCTTCCGCGCCTACATACGTGTGAGTTGCTCTCTTTTGTCGTAATTTTTTGAAATCATATTATTTGTTTTTCTACTTGGTCCCAATTTTAGTGCTAATTAGTCAAATTTTGGTTTTCTTCGGATTATCGGGTTTCATTATTTGTTTCTGGACTCGAGTTTGCATTTTGTGTTGTGGATTCTAGATTTTGTCGCATGAATTACGGTCTATTTCTCTTGGAATTTTTGACGTTTTCATGGGTTTTTAGTAATTACATATATGTTCGTACGTTTCTCATTTTAGTAATAACAAGACAATGATCTTTTTGCTGTTTTCTTCTGTTGTCTTGTTCTATTCGGTTAAATCTCAAGTTCTTTATGATTTTGGATAGTTCTCTCTCTCTCTCTTTTTTTTTTTTTTTTTTTTTTTTTTTTTTTTTTTTTTTTTTTTTTTTTTTTTTTTTTTTTTTTTTTTTTTTTTTTTTTTTTTTTTTTTTTTATGGAAGTTTTCATTTAGTTCTTCATTCTTTCAATCTATATGAATTCTGAGTTTTTGTTGATCAGAGTTTTCTTGAAGAAGCTGATCGAATAAATGCAAGTTGATTAATTGCCTTTTTTTCAGACAATAATAAACATAAAACATAATCTTCCTGAGAATTTAAGTGCCTTGCAGCAAAAATATGTAAGCTTTTTGCCTCTGTACATGAGTATGAACTGAGAGCTTATATTCTGCTTAGCCTTGCCATAATCTATCGTTGAATTTCTTGATCGAGATGAATAGGAAAATATGCAAATCAATCCTCTTCTTCATTGCCTATTAAAGAGTTAGTCGTTTTGGTTATTACTTTTACGAGGGTGAATAATTACACTAAGATACATAATATCGAACCTAGTACACGAGCTCCGTGGATATTTTGGTGACTTTTTCGATGGTGTTCTGCCCCTGCCTGCCAACAGTAGGGTCTAACCTGAGCTGGTTTGTTTTTTCTAATGGAGTTTTTTTATTAACAAGATTCTCATTGTAGTCATTAATTTGGCCACTTTCTGGTCTTCTTTGTGTTTCTTGTACACATCTCTATCCAGCATTCTCTTGGCTGTCAAATAATGGATAGACTTCTTGACTGAATTTTCTGTCCTGAGATTTGAGTTTGTTTAATGAAAAATGTTGATATTTATTCAGAACTGGTTGCGTCAACCTGATTGCACATTGACTGTGGGGGTTATAAACCAGGCAAAATTGTTTAGCTTTGAGTAGAAAACATCTGCCAAGCTAAGGCATAAAGCGGGCAAGCAAGTTGGTTTGTGTTTGTATAAAACATTTAAAATACAAAAATAGATAACTAAGTCTAAATGGAGTTATGTAGCATAAGAATCCATTCTGCAAAAGCAAACATGATTCTCAAACAGATCCAAAAAGATAGGAAGACACAATTTGAAACTTAAGGAGAAAATGGCTGACAAAAGAAGTACAGAGTTATGGAGAATGGCAACTTCATGGGCCTGCTCACCGAGATGGAAAGGACCGAAAGATGGCATCTGAAATGAGGTTAATGCACATGGTGTATAGCCGTGCGTGTGAGGGAGAGACATCAACAACAAACTTACCATTATTTCCTTTATATTTTTGAACCTGTCGAGATTCTTGTGATTGTGTATGATAAAGCCCAAAAATGCGTACCTCATGCAACTATAACTTATTGTTTACGAAGGTTACTTCTAAAGCTAGACACGGCCAAGATCATATACTTGCCATCATCTTGGTCTTAGGAAAAGAAGAAAATATAAGGCCCAGTCCAGTAGCCAAATATCTTGTGTTTAATTATTTGATTAGAATGAAATTGGCTTTTGTGGGGTTAATTTCAAAATGGTCAGTGAAGTGGTTTATGTTTCCAGTTTATGTTTTATTTTGAACATTAACTAGATGTGCAGGGTTTAGTTTGAGCTTTCATCAATTCATTATAAACATTAATTAGATGTGCTGGGTTTAGTTTGATTACATGACTTAATGGTTTAGTTAACAAAATAATATGAGGCTAATGAAATTATTGGTAAAAAATGATAAAATTTTATTGAAAACTCATGTGATAGGCACAGAAAGTGAAAATGTTCGTAGAGTCGAAGAAAATAATGAGGCATCGGATGATGAAATAGACGATTCTGAAGGTAGGGTGTTTATTTTATTAATAATTAATTTTCTTACTTTGTGAAGTTCATTTACACGTTCAGCTTTTATTATTGGTTTCGCAAGTATAGACGTAGGACATTTGTCAAGGACTCTCGATAGTCATCCTACTCGAGGAGCGTGTAAACAAATTAAGACATCTAGTATCGTTCGTACAACTTGAGAGAAAATTCGAGTTTTATACAAGTCAGTAAGTAGACGAGCAACAAGTTTTGAAGTATATAGTTTGTTGGTTCATGATATCGGAGCCATCGCTCGGTGACATTGCCCAATGAATACGGGTTATTGGCGGACCATTTCTCCAAGTGAGAAGAAGGACCTTATGGATGAGATCACGATAAGCAAACGTAAATGTGTTTATACTGTTGAAAAATTAATAGCCAAATAAAACTACATGAATCATTTAAAAGCACATTACTCATTTCATTTTGTGATTTTATTTATTCTTACTTTGTGGTTTGTTTTCTAGAATTGGATAATTTGTTCTACTTGTGGTTTCTTTTTATTTTATGATTTTTTTAATTATGTCGATTCCAGACAAACTTCGAGATAGATTTGAAAGACTCGAGATTGACAAATTATATTAATAGACTATACAATGGGAGGTATAGAGAGTTTAAGGCTGAGTTGAGTGCATACTAAAAGTTGCAGAAGACACATGAGATGCATTAGCCAATTCTAGTTGGAGATGCTTGATAGAGGTGTAGATCAATGGATGGACCTATGTAATCATTTGAATTCCAATAAGTTCAAGGTGTTTATTGTATAATTCTTTACTAGTTCACGGCTTTTACTTCTAATTTTGTTGTGTAATACCTATATATTTTTCTTTGCAGAAAGCATCGTCAACAAACATAGTGAATCGATCGAAGAAGAAGTACAATCATCATACTGGTTCACATCCTTTAGATGTAACCATACTTGGTGAATGTCATTTATTCGTGTTTTGATGAAATATTTTGGATTCAATGTTAATTGACATTACGTTTTAATTGATTTGTTATGATTTTTATATCTTTATATTATTTTGAATGAGGTTAAAAAAAACTAGTATAATATAAATAAAAAATATATAAGTAGTTTAATTTTTCCCTACAAATTCTTTTTTAATAGCCTACAAAATATCCTTTCCCCACTAGAAATTATTTGCATAAAAACAGGGTTCAGCTCACAAAATAATTTGTTCCATATTATCGAAAACTTTTAAATATAGGGAAAGATATTTATATTTTGGTCCACAAATAAATTTTCCACACAAAATATTATTTGTGGGGACAAACACGATTTGTAGGGACAAGCGAAATTGCTTCGTGTGTAGAAGTAACTTTAGTAGACGAATTACTTTGTCGGAGGAAAACTTACACGACGAATTGTATGTGTCTCCAAAGGGTTCGTAGGAAAAAAATCTTAGTCCACAAATTTCAAAAATTTGTCATCTTATACATATCCCCTTGATGTTTGCCTCATAAACGTGCTTACAAACTTTTTTCGTCTACAAAGATATTTCTCCACAAATAAGAGCCTTTCCCCACAAATAAATTTTGCAGGGAAAATATAAAATTATTGTAGTGTGATGATGTAGTAATTTTCTAGTACAGTGGAGTTAATCTAAGCCTATGTTTGTTACATGTTTATGAGCTATTTATAAATATTCAAATAATTTTTTATCAACATATTTTGAAAAATTTATAAGTATTAGTGATTTATCTATTACTTATTTCTATTTATTTATTATTTAAATAATTTAAAATCACCTTCACAAGCATGCTATGAAATTTCTGAAGTTGTATACCTTGGGCTTCCAATATAGTTGGCTCTCTTTATTCGGGCTTTATTGAATTGTAATTTGTTTAGCATTTTAAATAGGGAAAATTTCATAAATAAGAGATTAAGTATGACCTAATTCAAAATTAAGAAAACAAGTTTCAAACTTCAAAAATCAGATTTTTATTAAAATTTATTTATGATTTAATTAATTAATTAATTAATTATTTTACTAATTAAATATATTTAGATCACGGATCTGTATAATTTGGTCACAAATTAACGATTTAATTAATCACTTATTATTTTTTGGTCACAAATCAAAAATTTTATGTCGCAAATTATTTTATTATCACAATTTAAAAATTTTGTAAGTCACAAATCTAAAAATTAATTTGTAAAGTTACAAATTAATTTTTAGTCACACTTATCAATTTATTGGTTACAACTTATTTTTTGATCACAAATAAAAAATTTCATAGATCACATATTGTTTTTGGGTCACGAATAAATTTTTTTATAGGTCATAGAATCAATTTTTATTGGTCACATCTCATTCATTCATTACAAATTATCAAATTAATTGGTCACGGTTAATTTCATCAGTCATAAATCAAATCACAGTTTATTTGTGTGTCACAGATTTTCAAATTAATTGGTCACAACCCCCATTTTTTCCCATCGACAATGACCGCCACAGCCATCACTATCACCATTACTGCCACCACCTCAACGGAGCACAGCCGCCAACAGAGCCACCACCACCTCATGACAACCTATCAACACCACAACACACCACCATCAACACCATCTCAGATTCAAAGTCACCTATACAAAACCGCCACAAACAAAACCATCACCGCCATCGCAGATTCACAGTTACCTCCACAAAACCCCACTCAAATCGCCAGATCCACCACATAAACATCATCACCACCACAGGCCGCCCATAGCACCGTCACCACACAAACACCACCACCAACACAGCAATCGCCACAAATCGTCACCACACAAACACCACCACAGCACCGGAGTCTTCACAGAACCTAATAGCGCTGCCCACATCACCATAGCCGCGTCACCAACACCATCGTCTTCCTGAAACCACAGCAGAAATGCGATGCCAACAGAGGTGCGACGCCAACTCTGCCCATTCTTCACAGGCGAGAGAGACCAGAGCGCGAGATGTAGATAGGGAATGGGTTTTGGGGTGGAAGGGGGTTAGGGTTAGTTTATAAATTAAATAATTAATATAATTTTTTTTTCTGATTTTTGAAATATTAAAGTTCCCATATGATTTTAGAATGTTGAATACTTAAAGTATGGAATTGTGTAATTTTTACTTTTAAATATTTTGCCGCTTGTAAGTTGTAATAATTTTTATGAGCCCTAATTTGAGCTTCATTGTTTTGCTAAGAATGAATTTTTAAATAGTATATTGATGGAAAATGTGTAATTAAAAAATAATTTTTTTTGAATTTACGTGTAATATTATTTTATTGAAAAATATGTGATTTAAATGATATCAAAATACTGTCTAAAAATGTACTTTTTTCAAAGAATGAGAATCAAACAGGAGCTAAATTTTGCCTGTAGATGTACTTATTCATTACAGTGAATTTTAACTTGATTACAAGTTTTTTGGAGTCTCGAATCGAGAACTCTTACCCCTTTCAAAAATAAAAAATTTATAAAAATAATACTTCTTGATCAAAAGCTGAGAATCTTGACTTCCAGTTAAAGAAAAATGCAATGTATACCATTCTTTTTTGTTGTCAAACCTAAATAAGCATATTCAATTTATACTAATAGTTAAAGTTTTAGAAAGAAAAAATTGAAAAAAAAAATTACTTAAAAGTAAATACGAGGAGCCAAACATTCTCGGGGATTCTCAATTAGAGTGTTTGTTTTGTAGATAAGTTAAAAATGATTTTTTGGGAGAATGTGTGATTAAAAAATAGAAAAAAAATTTGAATTGTTGGGACCGATAAAGACAACGCAAGAATTGAGATTTGATGAACCCAATATGAAGTATAAATAAAGATAACAAAATAACCAAGAACAAGATTAAAGTAAAAAAGATGCAAAATAAAAGGGAATTGGCAGAGAAACGATATTATTTTATTTAATCACTATGAAATGAGAGAATTACAACAATTGACTTCAATTAAACTGAAAGAGGAGCCACGTATTTATAGTACATGAGTTAAACGCTAAAACTAGGGAAAAAAATATAAAATTAGGAAAAAAATCACGTAAAAGAAAAAGACGTGTCATGTGTCCAACAATTTTCTTTCATTTCTTCACCGTTTCAAATTGTTTCCTTCCTAATCTTGGATTCCAATTGATTCTTTCCATACTTCTTGAATTCTATTGATTATTTCCTAAAACCACATGGCTCCAACAAGATTTCTTTCCAAAACCCAAGACACATATTTAACAATCTCCACCTTGACTCAAAATTCCTGTGCAACTAACGATGCTCCAAATTTCTTCGCCTTGAGAAATCATCCGTCTGCATCAGAATAACCAAGCTCCTCAACACAGTATCCAAACTCTCCACGAAAACATGTTCCCCCGCCCGGCGTCCACATGTGACACCCAAACCCAAACCCGGGTTCCCAAAATTTCACCTAGAATTAATAATCACTAGACAGGGTCGAAATACACCCTGTAGCAGAAATCATACCAAATGCACGATTAGAAGGCCCCTTACTAGAATTGTCACCTTCAATGATCCCCAAGACATTACAGACATTATTGACACCACTAAACCTACGCTCCATGAGTCCACTAGCACAAGAACAAAGTGTATCTACTGAAATTGGTGGCAAAGCAGAATCACCAATACTCCCACAAGCAAAGTTCGAAACTGACTCAGAGCCTAACAGAAGAGGTAATGTACCAAACTGAATTTCCACCACGGTACTAAACTTGTCCAAATGTCTCTGAACTGGTTCAGCGCTTCCCTGCAAAATGTACAACTGGGATCTCATCTGTCCCTCCAGTACAATCCGAACACCTTTCTGAAACTTCAGGACTCCACCTCCACCAGAAAATTTATACCATTTTGCATCCAGGGTACTCAAGGATATGAGATTCTTTGTCAAGTCTGAAACATGGCGAACCTGATCAAGTGTCCTCACTATCCCATCTTGTAGCCTCAATTTGACCCGATCGATTCCTGCAACCCGACAAGATTGGTTGTTTTCCATGACAACTCCACATTGCTTCACCTCCTCATATGTCTGAAATAACGTCCTATTAGGACACATATGATACGAACATGCAGAATCCAGAATCCACTCCTCAGGTTTGGATTCTCCATCAAATATAGCCAACATCACGTCTCCATCATCAGAAAAATTTTCAACTACACTGGTTTCGTCCGAATTACAAGATTGCCCCGAATGATTTGCATGTAAATTATCTTTACCTTGCAACTTGTCGTAATCTTTCTTGATGTGTCATTTCTTCTTGCAGTAATAACAATACACATTGTTGTTCCTCACCTTCGATCTACCCCTCCGTCGATCACCATGAGTAACAAGAGCATCCCCACCCCTAGATGTAGGATCTCCAACCAACAGCTCCATCCTCTCCTTTGAAAACAGGGCTTCATATACCTCCTCAATGGTAAGCGTGTCACGACTATACAGAATAGTATCACGAAACGACGAAATAGAACTGGGAAGCGAACACAACAGGATCAAGGCCAGATCCTCTTCATTATATTTTATCTCCAACGTCTTCAAATTTGCAACAATCTCCTTGAACACAGCAAGGTGGTCCTGCAGTGACACTCCTTCTGCCATGCGATGGGAATACAACTTTTGCTTTAGAGTCAGTTTGCTCGTCAGACTCTTTGTCATGCACAACTGCTCCAACTTGAGCCACTAAGCAGTCGCTGTCTTCTCCTTCAAGACATCTTGCAGTATATTGTTGGACAAATGAAGATGAATCAATGATGTGTCCTTTCGTTGCTTCTCCTCCATAGGCCAATTTGTTGGCATCTTCTCAAAACCCGGCAAAGCATCATCAAGTTTCATTTGTGTCAACACAGCCCTCATCTTTACTTGTCACAGCGAAAATCTTGTATTGCGATCCAATAGCGGAATATCATACTTCATCGAAGCCATCTCTAAAAACCTCAATTAAATCACGAAGAACTTGCAACCTTACTCCGATACCACTTGTTGGAACCGATGAACACAACGCAAGAATTGAGATTTGATGAACCCAATATGAAGTATAAATAAAGATCACAAAATAACCAAGAACAATATTAAAGTAAAAAAGATGCAAAATAAAAGGGAACTGGCAGAGGAACGATGTTATTTTATTCAATCACTATGAAATGAGAGAATTACAGCAATTGGATTTAACTAGTCTGAAAGAGGAGCTATGTATTTATAGTACACAAGTCAAACGTTAAAACTAGGAAAAAAATATAAAATTAGGAAAAAATCACGTAAAAGAAAAAGACGTGTCACGTGTCCAACAATTTTCTTTCATTTTCTTCACGGTTTCAAATTGTTTTCCTCATAATCTTGGATTCCAATTTATTCTTTCCATATTTCTCGAATCCTATTGATTATTTCCTAAAATCATATGGCTCCAACAAGATTTCTTTCCAAAACCCAAAATTGCCAAATTCTTGCCAAATTTCGAGACACATATTTAACATGAATTTACGTACAAAATTAGTTTATTAAATGAATGCATAAATAAAATGAGTATCAAATTAGTTGTGCCAAAGGAACGCAAATTATGAAAGGTGCAACAATTTGAGATGCCAGTTTCAACTCATCCAACACATTTCATTTCATAAGGGTCTTGGAATGCATGTGAAAAATCCATCTGCTCCAACTAAATTCTGCTTTGGTAACCAGTCATAAATTGCTACCATCTCACATCGTACTCGAGCTCATACACCTAATAATTTGTTTTGTTTGACTGGACGTACGATATTGAATAAAATAATGAAATCTCAAATGATGGCTTCTATTATGTTTGAGTTAAGAAGAACATTTTAAAAAATGACAATCCAAAAGACATTTATTACGTTAAATTGAATAATAATATACAAATATAATACAAGTAATTTATTTTTTTAATCGCGCTTTCTATGTTTGTGTATTACATACATTCATAATTTGTTGCATTGGATTGAACAATTAGACAACAATAATAGCTAAACATCTCACATGTCTCTTATGTTATTCGAGCAAAAAGCATTCTTAAAATGAAAAATAATAAATATACATATTACATCTCACTTCCTTGATCACATCTCATTCGAATTTGTGCAATGTATACCAAATTACCAACAAATTCTTGCCGATAATAAGTCCATGTTTGGCCTCCATATTTTACAATTTCTTTTTTCATTAAATTCATTTCGATCATATATTTTATAAGATCCATAATTTTTATCAATTTTCAACTATATATTTTATCAAAATTTATTAGAAATCTAATTTTTAGCCAAATTATACTGTGGCTAAATGATGGGAGGACATACACCTCAATTAGTTGTATCCTATAGGTCAATAACCTACTTAAATTTATGTTTTTTTAGTATTTATACATGTTAAAAGTCTTTAAGTACTAGCTAATCACAAGCTGGCTTAGGTCAAAATATAATTATTTATTTCTGATTGGCCACGGCTTGCATTAATTCAAAATTTTTGGTTGGAATAATGTAAAAATATGGACAAAAAATTTGTGGGATTTCATGAATGATGCACAACAAACAAGAGTACCGTATCACGTGCAACATTACATGTGAATTAAAATTTGTCCAACCTATTGAATTAGGACTCACCTACCCCATATAGAAAGTAAATCAGGTTGTATTTATTACTATTATTATTATAAAAAAAAAAGGTTGAACCCCAACTTTGAGGACCTCCATCGCCCCGTCCCTAAAATTTTGTGAGGGAGGTAAATTGCAGGATGTGCTCTAACAAGTCAGGGAACAAGAGCTGTCTGTACACTGCACTTACAAGGAGTCTAATTCCATGTCTCAGAAATCGAACCTTCACACTGCGACTGCCAGCAAGACATGATATAATCTCACTCCTATCCTTTACACCACTGGACTATTATTATTGTTACTATGATAGTTTATGATTATTTAGAGCATCTTTAAATACAAAATCATCTTTGTTGGTATTGACACTTTCTCAAAACTCATGAATTTCGATGCAACCTAGAAATTTTAACATTTTGAAAACTTTGAAATTTGTTGATTTGAAGATTGGAAGTCAAAGTTGAATCATTTACATGAAAGCTGCATAAAAAATGGTGAATTAGGTTCATAAAACTAACGTCACAAAACTAATGTCACACGGAAGATTGGACGTTGTTGACATATGAAAGTTGACAATTTTTTACATGTCTACTTTCCTTAAACTTGTCCAATACATTGCACTTTATATAATCCAAATTATTACGAGTTCAAGATCATTAGCATGATTTTTATCAAAATTAAAATTAACCTTTCTAGTTAAGATGAGAGATAAATTTTATCACGTATGATTGATTGTGGGCAAGGACGGTTACGAGCCCATAACACCAAGGTTCGTAGCCATCTGCAAAGATGATACTTTTAAACGAACCTACAACCTATTCAATGATGACCATTGATAAACTTTTTCACCTATAAATCAGTTGTGGACGAGGAGGTTTTCGAATCCCCTACACAACGGTTCGTAGCCATTTGTCGTAATCTTCTGGACTATAGATGCCACCATGTCTATATGGGATCGAGATTCGCATAAATATTTGGTTCAAGTTGTTCGTGTACAATGGCACCAGCATTCACCTAGCCAGCTCTTCACTTCCCCACCAACTGATCCATTTTCAAAAACGCCTATCCATCTCCGAAAACCCTGCACTTTTTTTCTTAACCGCTCCATTTGAATGTTTCATTTATTAAATGCTCATAAAAACTCATAAAAACAGCTCCTTCCTATATATATAACCCATTTCTTCATCCCTACATTCGAATTGAATCAATGGGGAAAGCAGAAAATGAAACAGAAAAATCCAAGTTAATTACACAAATCTGCAGCATATTGGCCCGTGCCAATGCGTGTGCTCACCGGCATCACCGGTGTGCGATTCAATCGCCGTTTATCGACTGGTACCTTGTCCTTGGAGTATGTATATGAATTCTTGATCTCTTAATTTTCTGCCATTTCTCGGGATTTATTCTGCGATGATGTGATGTTTTGCACATTGTTCCTCTTTGATAGGTGCCAGAGAATGCTGGGGTAGATGCCATTAGGAAACAATATCACAAACTTGGTACGTTGTAAATTATAATGACATAATATCATAGTTATCAGACTCAACCCCAACAACAAACACCATTGTTATCGTTCGGACGCGACTATAACTCTTAATTACTCTCTCTGCTTTTTTCTATATTGGAATGAGGTTTTCCTCTTTATGCAGCTTTGCAGCTTCATCCTGATAAGAATAAGCACCCAAAGGCTGAATCTGCATTCAAACTTGTGTCTGAGGTTAGCCTTTTTTAAGGTTGTTTTTGCCTCTTTCTTTTTCCTTAATTCTCTCAGAAGTACGGAATTTCTGTTGCCGAAATCTTGGTTTTTAATATTTAAGGAGCTTTTAATTCTTCAATTATTAAAAAAATATTTTCATTTCTTGTTGGACTATGTGAAGTCTTATACACCGGAAAGAGGAAAGTCCTCTACCACGCAGAGATTGAACTAATATCCGATAGTCCATATATGAATTATTTGCATTCCGTGAAGGGATTAGGGCGTAATCCATAATATTTGCTTAATGGAAAATTCATATTTCTTGAAGTTTCTAATAAGTTTTATGAAATTTCTGAATCATCTTTTTTGTAAATTAAGCTCTTAGACATTGCATTTATGATCACAGGCCTATTTTTGCCTATCAGACAATACAAGAAAAGCAGCATTTGATTCAGAGAGGAAAAATAGTTTCTGCAGTGAGTGTTCTCGTCCTCCTGGCAGAAGAAATGTTGATGTTGAAGGAATATTTTATCCGGGACGGAAAAAATTTAACGGTATTACACAGCGAATGAAAAATCTTCGAACCAGGCTAGAAGAGGAAGCAACAATCATTGAAAAGTGTTTGAAAGCCAATGCTGCATTAAAGGGCGAATTCCCTGTTTTTGGTGCAAAAACTGAATCTCCAATTTTTAATCCATCAGATTATCAGTTTCAGAGCTATCCTCATCAGAGTTCCAGCAACTATACGAAACCGGAAAGTTTCAAATTCTTTATGACACGAAACAGATGCATTCACACGGCTGTTAAGAGCGATTCCCCGATCTTTCAATGTAGATCAGAAGAAAAGGAACCCTGTAAATCTCGATATGCTTGTATCAGATCTAAATGAACAATATAGTGTTCTTGGAAAATCTTCTTATTACCGACTTTTGCTCTTACCTCATTTCTAATTATACCTCTGTCATGTTTGGTATGTTAGACTCAACTATAAAAAAGAGGATTAAAGAAGAAAATGAATCTTGTCTGGTTTACAATGTTGTATGATACTGTGGATCAAACAAGCTGTGAATAGACTAGTGAATACCGAACAACGAGATGGCTTGAAAAATGTTCATTTTTTAAGGACTCGTTTGGTAGATCTTTTGCTTATTGTAGAAGGGCTTCTTGAGGAAATATTAGGCTAATTTCCTCTAAAAGTTCTAACCACAAAAAGAACTTCCAGAAAATTATCCAAACAAGTTAAAAGACATTTTTTTACTTTTCAAAAGCCTTGCTAAACGGACCATTAGTATCACAGTAATATACAAGGTATGTATCAAAAGATTCAAAACATTGCTGCTTACTCAATAATGAATTGAGGAGGCAAAATTTTCATCTGCTGAGACTGCGATAAACAAACTGACTCGTCAGACGTAGATGGTAAAATAATTATCACTAGATATGTGACATCAGTGCGGATCATTAGCTAATTATTACATGTTGGGTATATAATACTAGACATGAAGCGTTTACGCTAGTGACATCTTATTTGATGAGACTCATTTGCTACACATTGAGCAACAGAGCTTTATTAGAATTCTTTCACAAGCAATGAATGTCAGGTACAATTTATTAGCCGTCACAGAAGGGGAATGCAGGAACAATAAATTCTATCTGCCCTTAAAAGCTAGGAATCTCCTACAGAAGCTGGCATATCTAATGTTTTTCACCCCGATAATTAATTGGATTCTTCCCAGCGGAATGAATATGGCGCACTTCAATAGAAGCGGACTATTACCGAGCCAAGAAACGTACTTATCTGGAGGAATTATTGCCAATGAATTTTATTGAGTTCTCTGTTAACTGCATGTTTGGTACACAATATTGGTGCAAGATATCAGCAAGACGACGGCGGACAAAGCATCGCCTATCTACACAATTGTGCATGCATTTGGATTTTCATCACTGAACATTGAAGTGATATTAATATTCCCATTGCCATGGTTTCCTGCCCGAAAATTCTCGCTGTAGTGGTAAGGTCTACCTTGGTACGAGTATCTGGCCGGCGGCGGCTGGAAATTTGCATATTCAGTTACATAAGTTGATGGTCTGTATGTATCGTAACTGTGAGCCACATAAATGGGCTGAGGTGGCTCGCCTCTGAATCCTGTACCACCACAGGAATAAGCAAGTCCACCACCATAACCGCCGCCGTGTTCTGGTGGCGGTTGGTTTATTACATGAGCCTCTTCAACATCCTTCGGTTTAGAGGGTTGATCAGCAGTTTCATCAGGGGATGGTTTTGACTCTGGTGGTGGTGGATCTTTTGGCTGCTCTGCTGGTGTAGTTTCATCAGCCTCTGGTGGAGGGTTAGTGGACTCCGGCTGTGGTGTTTCGCCGTCAGGTGGTGGTTGGTCGTCTGGTGGTTCTGTTTGAGAACAAATTATGGCATTTTTTCTTGTCTTCCTAATGGCTTTAACTATTCTTTCTGGATCTGCCCACCCAATTATTATTATTTTTTGCTGGGCAAAATCAATGTTGAGATCATATATACCTGCCACACAAACATTATCAACCCTCATCCCTTCTCACGAGAGCAATAATAAACACATAAAACAAACTCTGCTCCATAAAAAACCCCTTTATGGAGTAAGAATATTACGTCGAGCACTATGGAAGAAACGGTTTTCCGAACCCGAACTCGTACTTTGATTTATAAAGATTTTTTCGAGAGCACAAGCCATGTAAATTTCCAAAAACCATCAATTTTCTGAAACTAAAGTTTTGACGAACCATACACCATTTGAAAGCTCTATCATTTTACTTTCGTATGGAAGAAGAGCACAAGTCAGAGGTTCCGACGTATGCCAACACTTACCATTAATGCCTTGAAGGGCCTTCTTTATCTTCTGTACACAACCATTACAGTCTATTCGGACTTGTATCTCTGTGACCTGAGGTTTCTGCATTTTTGAGAAAAAATAAAATGAATCAAACTAAGAACGTGTTTCTCCTAACAAAAGAAAAAAAATAAAAAAAAATATGGTAAAAATCTATAAAATTGTTGTACGTAAATATATGTATCTATTTGTGACATGGGATTTTATAACTTACCTCTAACTCTGGAACCATGATTGAACGTTGAGGGAATGATAGTGGAGTATCAAGAAATGGCATCCGTTTGTGCATGGAGAAGGAATATTAAAAGACATTGAATGTGGGACATGCAAAGAATCTCTTTACAGAGCTTATATGTGTGGAGGGACTGCCGACACGTAAACTAAGTAAATTGTTGAATTTGCATTTGAACTGTTTAAATTTTTCGACGAGATATTTCAGATATTTTGGAGAAAAAAAATTGTTTATTCGTGATGTGTGTGGTTTGAGATGGAAGTTATGGAACCAAACTGTACATAATCCATCGCACAAACTATTGCAATCGATTTTTCATTTTTTTTCCCGCAGTTGTCTGCCCCAACAAAAAAAATCAAAATTTTTTTTATTTTATTATTATTATTTTCTTAATACAGATGTTATAAAAGCTTTTTTTAAAAATCCTGAATTCTTGTCATCACTAAATTTACGAGAAACGAGAAATTTCACCTGCACTAGATATTTGATTACCAATTGAATTAATTCATGTTGAACGTAATTGGATAATTCATCATTATAAGAACTAGACATGATCGACTGGTCTTATGGTCGGACAAAACTTTCAAATCGAATCCAACCTAAAATGAATCGAACCGAACCAAATCGAACGATTCTTCTTAAGTTAAATACTAGAACATGTATCTGAATCGAGAATCGAAGAGTTTGGTTCAGTTCTCGATTCTAAATCAAAAAACGAAAAATCCAATTTTTCAATTTAATTTTTTTAAATTTATTTATCTTAAATAAGCCAAATTATTTTATTTTTTCTAAATAAATTTGTTAACTAATTAATTTAGTCCAAACTCAAAATATGATTTTCATCTTTCTATTTTTTAGCCCAAATCCAACTTAATCAAATTAACCTAAGTTTTATCCAAATCTATTATTCTACCATAGTACATTTCCATAGTTCTGGAGAAATCGAATTAGAAATTCGGCTATGTCTCTTTTCATTATTGTGAGCTCTATCTTCTTCTTTTCGTGATTTTAACAATCAAATTTATGAAGAACTTACTAAAGAGATGATCAAAAGAACCATTTCTATAGTCCTAGAATAGTATTTTTTTTTTTGGAGAATAAATTGTTGAAAAAGAAAGAAATTTTTTCGATTTACGTGTAATATTATTTTATGGAAGATTGTGTGAATGAAAATAGGAGAGAGAAAAATGAAATTTAATTTAATGAGGGCCAAACGGGAGCATAATTATTTGAAATAATGTAGCGCTGTTTTAAATATTAAAATAATTAATTATAATTAATCAAATGAAATAGATCCCAAACCTAAAAGTTTTATAATTGAATTTAAACCAGATGATTTTACTTACTAAATACTTAAAAATTCGGGTTCGGTTGAATTCTTGGACCATGTCTAGCCCTAATTGGAAAAGCCCAAAAGTTCTAAAGTCCATCTACAAAACTGAAAAACAATTTTTTTTTCTTTTTAAATAATCACAAAACCAACTAATTTGTCTAGTTTTTTAACACGACTTCAACCTTGGTTCAATTATTTGAGTCAAATCCCGCTACGAATTTCTAAATATTGAGATAAAATTATTTATTTTTCAACCGTTTAAATTTTTAAATGAGATGATTTAGTATAAGATGAATAGAGTCACGTATGTGGGGATGGACTACCCCTGTGAGCGATGGGTGTTTTGCATGATCCCAGGACGTTGAGCCAAAGGGAATTTACTTTTCGTGTCGATGGTCATCTAAAGTCGCAGCTGTCTGTAAATGCATTTTTGGAATATCCAAAGTGATAGAAAAGATAAATTGTCCATGCATGGAAAAATGACTTAATTGAAAAAAAGTAGCTTTACAAGTGAAGAATATATTAGGACATGGGGAATCCTTTTACCACAAGAAAGAGATCATCCAATTTAATAAATATTGTGACAGAATGTGTCTTTTTGTGGTTAAGTAATAGATTATTTATATGATTTTAACGGATAAATTAAATTCATTTAATATCCCACAAATTAAGATTTAAATATAAAATAAAATAAATAGAAACTCATCTTGTTCGACCCATTATTATAAAAATGATAATTGATTTATTTTGTTTCTCTAAGCTCAAGAACAATCAACATGTTGCATAAAAGATGCGTTTTAATTAATATATATGAAGTTCTATTCAATATTGCGTCCAGGATTAGTTTCGCATAATGTATTAGATAACATATATAATGAATACTTTTGTATACAGCATCGCGAATTGACTGTACCCTTTCCCTATTCAATATTAGCATATTATTTATGCATAATTAGATTGCCAGAAGTCTTAAATTTAATTAATCATTGGTTTACAAGATTCTTACAATTATATGATAAGAATTTTTTAGGTCCTTTAATAATTTATTAATGTGCTTTAAAATGAGGGTTACATATTTTGCGTTTCTGCAGTATTATTGATTTTGCTTGTTCAAAAAATACAATGGATGAATGAGTTTTTTTACTCTATTTTAAAGAAAATTTTGGAGAGAAATCATGATCAGTAATGATTTATATTAATTTGAGAATAAGAATGTAAAGAAAAAAGTTTGAGACATATATATAACAATGTGTAAAATTGTGAACCTTTCATGCCAATACAATGTAGTCTAGTTATTAAAACTTGAGATGTGTATATTTTTAGCCTTCCAAAAATCAGCTATATCTTTAAATATGTTGTTGGGTTTTGATACCCAATAACTTCTCGAGCTATGATGTAAAACCAATTTTTGTTATCAGTCGGCTTGGATCAAATGACTGAACAAAATGTCAACGCAACTATTAGAACGACCCAACCCCAAATTGTATGGATCACTAGAAGTGACCTAATTTAATAGTGTCGCTTGTGGCCCATTTTATCTTTACTTGGAGGGCTTTACGTTGTTACCCATTTTGGAGCCCATTGACTTGAGTGTTGGGTCTTTGGACCGTGACTTTAACCTATACCTAACTTACCATATTTGGACTCCTTACTTGGGCTATATACTTGCTTCTTCTCACTGCCTCCATATGACCAGTGTTGTTGCCTTTGGTCTGCTTCCCGTTTTCTCTTCTGTCTATTCGGTTGTTCTTCACATGTGATTACTTTGTGATCATTTCCTGTGTGGAATAGTACATCTTGGTGAGCTCTTTGTGGGCAAGTAAAACAACCGTGAAGGGAAGAAACTGTTTTGGTCGATTGGGTTTGAGTTCGATTGTGGTGTTGACATTAGTGAAACTGAGCCCGGAAAATCCACCAATTGGAGGTCGATTATTCAACATTTGGTATCAGAACGAGGTTGGGGTGGAATTTCTGGGCAAAATTTGACCAGAAAATTGGCAGAAATCAGAAAAATAAAATTGTCCAGAATTTTTTCCCAAAAATCGAATCTGCAACTTCAATTTTCGGTGAATCTAGACGTCTTTTGGTGAAACGGAGGCCGGATTTGTGATCTGCAGGTGGAGGTGGTGCTGGGTGGCCGACGCGTCTGGGCGACGGCGACCGTCAGCGACGGCGCGTGCGACCGTTTCTGGAGAAGCTATTTTCAGGCAATTTGTTCCTCACATTATTTTTAACATTTTTCGTGTTGGAAGTTTTCAGTTTCAGGTTACAAAGAAAAAGTTGGACGATTTTGCCCCTAGAAATCGAACTGCATTTGTTGGCAGGCTGCACGGTTATATTTGTTGAATCTTTAGGACGAATAGTGGTGATCCTAAAACAGTAGATTCGCATCTCTCTCGATTATACGGACTCAGATACGTCCGCTCTGATAAATTGGCTTAACCCGTTAATTTCAGCATTAGCACGTCACCGTGTGGGGCGACAATAGGTTGGGGGTTGTCATTACTTGGCAGCCATTGCTTGTGCTAGAAATTAGGATTACTTGCTCTTAATTGTTGCGATTGAATACTTATTTTTGGATAAATTAGCGTATTGTGCTTTGTGCTAAAATTGTCGTGAAATTTTGTTTGATTGGATATACCTATTTTGTTGCATTGTAAATTCCGCTGTGTTGTTACTTCCGTTAGAATATCTAGACCTTACCCGTTCGAACGTTCTCTTGATCTAAGATCACGAGTCTTACGAAACCCTGAAAATCTAGAACGATGTATATTGCGGCCGTAGGATTACTTTGTGTGATCTATTTGCCCAATTGATTGCTTCGTTTTTAAAAAATGTCTTCGCATTTCGAAGTTGGTATTTTTAATGGAAAAGGTAATTTTTCAATCTGGCAACAAAAAATGAAGGGTATTTTAGTCCAACAAAAGGTTTCAAAAGTCATTGAAGGCAATTTTCCAGCTAATTTTTCAAAAGAACAAAAAGAAGAAGCCGATGAGCTTGCTTATACCTCAATCATTTTACATCTGTCTGACGCTGTTTTGAGAAAAGTAAGAAAACTGAAAACCACAAAAGATCTTTGGAAAAAGTTGGAAGATCTATATTTGCTTAAATCCACTCCTAATAAAATTTATCTTCTTGAGCATTTCTTCAGTTTTAAAATGGATCCTTCAAAGGATCTTGATGAAAATTTGGGTATTTTCAATAAACTTGTTCAAGATATTGTTAACTGTGAAGAAACCGTATTTGAAACATATAAGACTATTATCCTACTTAATTCCATGCCTAAGTCATATAAGGAAGTTAAAAATGCCATTAAGTATGGTAGGGATACGTTGACTCCCGAGATTGTCATAAACTCACTTAGGAGTAAGGAGATGGAAATGAAGGATGAAAATGAAGATAAAAGGAGTGGTGAGTTACACATGATAAGGAGTATGATGAAATTTAAGCAAATAAATTTAGGTAGAGCTCAAAATAGTGGTGATTCGAGTAGTGACTTGAGTGATGAAAGTGGTAAGATGAAGGGCAAGGGACGGGACAAGTCTAGTGGTAGGCGGTGTTATAGTTGTGGTAAGTCTGGACACTTTATTAGGGATTGTCCTAAAAAGAAGGATAAGCAGAATGTAAGATGAGAGGTGAGACGAATTTGGTTGAGGGGTCGAGTTATGACCCCAGTGAAGTTTATTGAGAGAGTAAATCTAGTAACTGCATATGCATCTGTGTGTGATCCTTTCAGCATGTGTGTGATTGCCTAATTTGTTGCATGACTATATGTTGCATTTTAATTTGTTTGATATGTGTGTTTGCATGAATTTGAGGTAATGTGATTACTTGGTGTGATCGTTTGCATGCATAGTGGGTTAGGATGCATTAGCAATGTGTTAGATGTCTTTTGGTAAGGTGGAGTATGGATGCCTAGGGGTATATGGTGATTTGTACGGGGGATGTGGAGTGTGACATTTGGATCACTAGTGGAGATATTTATCTGTGAAAGAGACCCTGTACAGGTGGAGTGCGAGAGAGGCACTTCTATCACTTCTGTAAGGTGGAGTCCCATTATCCACGTAGGTTAGAAGAAGTGATGTGGTGATAGAGGATTATCTTTGAACTTAGGATTTATTGTGACTTTCCAGTTTGACATGAGTTGTGTGATCTATTTAGTGAGCATGGTGGACGATGAGAGGAGATATGTGCTCTTGAGGTGAGAGTAACACGAAATGGGATAGGATAAGTGTGGTGAGATCTTGCGTGGAGTCATTTATGCATTTGTTGCATATGTGTTTGACCGTGTGCTGATTAACTTGGTGTTAATCTTTAATTCTATGTGAACGTGAATTTGAAAAGACCTGTGTGAGATATCCTATATAATATCTTTATCGTATAATTAGTTGTTCACTGTAAGTACTTGTTTCTACCTGGATGTTCTTGACCTTAGCCCTCATGAGTATACGGAGCAGGTATGGTGTGTGTTTCAGGTTGGAAACAAGAGGTAAGGTCTGTGAGCCCAATTTTATTGGATTACCTTGATTTTGCAAGTTATAAACTGTGTGTTTTTTATTGCTTGCAGGTTATTGGGTATCAAGGTGGAGATTGTTGGGTTTTGATACCCAATAACTACTCGGGCTATAATGTAAAATCGGTTTTTGATATTAGTCGGCTTGGACCAAATGGCTGAACGAAATGTCAACGCCACTATTAGAACGATCCAACCCCAAATTGTATGGACCACTAGAAGTGACCTAATTTAATAGTGTTGCTCGTGACACGTTTCACCTTTACTTGGAGGACTTTACGTTGTTACCCATTTTGGAGCCCATTGACTTGAGTGTTGGGCCTTTGGGCCGTGACTTTAACCTATACCTAACTTACCATATTTGGACTCCTTACTTGGGCTATATACTTGCTTGTTCTCACTGCCTTCATACGACCCGTGTGTGCAATTGGAGAAAAGAGACAGTGTCGTTGCCTTTGGTCTTCTTCCCGTTTTCTCTTTTGTCTATTCAGTTGTTCTTCACCTGTGATTACTTTGTGATCATTTCCTGTGCGGAATAGTACATCTTGGTGAGCTCTTTATGGGCAAGTAAAGCAACCGTAAAGGGAAGAAACTGTTTAGGTCGATTGGGTTTGAGTTCAATTGTGGTGTTGACATTGGTGAAACTGAGCCCAGAAAATCCACCAATTGGAGGTCGATTATTCAAAATATGTTGTTTTTGTAAAATTATGGTGTACATAATTCTTTGAGTGTTTGTAAGTGAAATTTGATGTAAGTGAAATTTGAGACCCATGCATTTAATAATACACTTTATAAGTTACATTTAAATTCTGATACATTGTACTTTTGTTCTTATTTAATCTCCATTATTTTTAAAATATTTTTTTCTCTCTTTCTTTTTAGCCATGCATTCTTCAACAAAATTATATGACCGGCTAAGAGCTCAAAATTTTTCTTTATTTTTCAACCACACATTCTTCATCAATTTATTATTTCAAAATACATTGTCACAATAAAATGGGGCTCAAATAGGCATTATATATATATATATATATATATATGATGAGAACAAGTTAAGGACATAAAGAATGAGTTAGGATTATGAATATTTCATGTAATTAAAATGTAATGAAATTATTAAAAAATGTTGCGTGAATACAATTATATTACAATCGCTTGATCTTTCATCTTTTAAAATAACTAAAAGAGAAAATTATCCGTTTTGCATCATATCAAAGGGATTCATCGGTTATAATTATTTTACAATTGTTTGATTTTTCATCTTTTGAAATGACTAAAAGAGAAATCATGTTTTTAATTTTTCTTTTCACAAATCAGTTTACCTTAATTCTTCACAAATCAGTTAATTATTTGAAAAATACTGAGCGTACTTCTTTCCTCCATAATTTTTTTCAAAATTTGTTATTTGTGAAAACATAATCTTAGAATATGATAATTATGATTATTTTCCAAAAATAAATTTTATTTTGCGTTAGGCCAACGGTCAAGATATCAAATATTAAACCAATAAGAAAAATGCTACCCTTGATCTTAGCAAAAAGGCCGAGAAATGTATGGTTTTCAATTGAATTGGGCGGGCCATATTATATTAAGCTGCTGAGCTGCTCTCTATTTGTTTATTTAGAGAACCCACGGGGGACAAATGTACAAACAGCTTAAGGAATGATAACTGAGATTAAGCATATCAAACTTTCTGTAAATCCAAGCTTAATTGAGATTAAGAAGCATTTCAAAACTTAATAAATGAATGTTATCTTATAATCTGAAAATCATCCATGGATCCCGGAGTACGTCTCAACTGTAGATTCTGGCTTCGGCCAATGGTGCAATCGTTAGTTTTTGTTCAACCAGAGCTTCTAAAGTAGCACCGTGACTAGTATGACTAATTCTTATCTTAATGTCAAAATAAGTAACTTTTTATTTGAACAGAAGATTAAGATAAAAGTGGAATAAAAAATAAAAATGTATAACAAGCATAGAATTCCAAGTTCAATCAGGAATAGTAGATTGAAGAATTCTATATTTTTTTATTTTGACTTCTCAACAATAGAATTGGAAGCTTTCTTCTGAGAAATTTGTCTTCGTTACTCGGTGGTAGTGTAGGTTTAATTTGATTGTCTAGAGACCAGATACAGTTTGTGCTCTGCTGTAAGGATTAAAATACACTATCTTTTTTATAAAAATCTGAAAAACTACATGTCTGCTATGATTTTCTTCACTCGATGTGATCTAAAAAGGTTAAACCCTAATTTTTCTTCACTCGATGTGATCTAATTTTTATGTCTAGCGGTACGTAAACAATGACTCATAGTAATTTTATATATGCTAAAGAAGAGATTCGAAGTGAAAATGTTCGCGATATTTATCACAACATATAGAAAACTTGTTATCCATAAGCCTTCTCTTGATGTGTTTGTAGGAAGAGGATTCTGAAACGGTTCTAACAAGTGCATTTAGCGCAACAATAGATCTTAAAACTTTAAAAATCTTGTAATGTGCTCCATGTTTGGCTATTTCCATTATTGTTTAATTCACTTCACCAGAGCTCCTTTTGACTTCTTTTCCTTAATTTATTTGTTTCTTTCTCTTTCTATAGTCGTGGGTCTCTTGAAGAAAAATTCGCTCCGCTCTTAGAATATTTTGAATAAGATTTTTTCTGTACTCAAAAGGGTTTTAGTTGATTCAGGAATTAAATTTTTTTTGGTTCATTTTCAATTGTTTCGAGAAATCTATCGATCATTCTAATTCTTTCTTTTCCTCTTGATAAAGAGAAAAACTTTCAATCTAAAATCAAAATATCTTGTGGACTCAATCCAACATATTTCAAAGTTTATAATACATAAATGAATGTTCCAAAAATTTTTTTGCAATACTTATATTATAGCTTATTTTTTCTTGTACAATCTTAAAAAATTATTAAATTCAAACACACACAGACTCACACACACACCAATAGAAGCAACAAACTGATCAGACTTCAGAATCGGGTATGGACATCCACAATATCTCTTGGTATGCAGTATTAGCCGGTACTATCCAATCAAGCATACCAAACATACCACGAAAAGACTCAATTGTAAGCGTGGGGATTTGCATGGAGGTAAGCCTCAATAGCCTTGAACATGGCGCGTGCCTTCTCTTTTCCTTCCTTGATCTTCTCTTCTGTGATTTCCTTAATTCCTTTGGTGTGGTACATGCTTTTGGTTTTGCAAATGGATCCTCCATCGGCTGCGTGTTCGATTTTGACATCGTAAGAGATCTTCTCAAGATCGCCAGCTTCAAGAACATCTCCTTCAATGATGCTGTAGCTGTATGTGCAGTTGGCTTCGTCGATCCCGTCCACTCGGTGCTTCACGCTCTTGTATTGGCTGCCTGCATATACAAGAATTCGAGATTAAAATCATTTTCCGGGGGTTCTTTCTCTTCCTGTGTAATGCTTCTCAAAAAGAGAGTATAAAAGTTAATAGTCAAGATGTGATAAGGTCTAAAATTCAAATCTTGTCATATTGCATTTCATTTGCAACAAAGCATATCCAAGGAATAAGAAATTTGGGATCGATCGTACCTTCGCCGAAAGTGATCAACTTGACGGTTCCAACTCCACCATCGCCTTCGAGGATTTCAACGTTCTTGATGGCCTGTGGCAAAACCTTGGGGATGAGGTTATCGGAATCAAGAATGAAAGCCTTGAACATCTTGGTTGGTGGGATTGAAGAGGTGATTTCATGGTCATATGTGATCACACCCATGATTAATTTCTTGAAAAAAGATTAAATGCAGAGGAAATACAAATAAGGGTTCTTGTTTAGTGAACAAGTTTGTGTGTGCAAAATTATGAGAAACAATGTCCCTATTTATAGGTGAATTGCCAAAGGTTTCTGAACAAAATTATGAGAAATAATATCTAAAAAATTAATTGGTTTTTGATGCTGAGTCAATGTTTATTAAGTGGGAAAGCTTGAAATTTAACATGCATGCCATGGTCATACCAGTTCCACTTGTCTGCCCTTTTCACATTGAATCTCACCTAATACATCATGAAAAAGAGACGTATATATATAAAATTTGAAAGTTTAAAGTAGAATTTTATTTTTAATTAGTAGGTTCATTAATTGATATATTATTTTTATTCTTTTGTTATCTTCTAAAAAATCACATCACTTTTATAAACTTCATATATACATTCTTGGAGCGTGTATACTCCGACCCTAACATACGAAAAAAATATTTAAAATATGAAGTCAAGAAATTTTTCGGAAGTTAATGTGTTTACTTTCAATTTACGTCAGTTTCAATATTGTAGCTTGTATTTCTTTCCACGCCTTAATTTTGTTACATTTATTTTTATTGTGTACCAATTTATTCGACACGGTTCTTCAATTAACGATATTGTTCTATATTTTCAAACGTTGAATTAATTTAATTATCACTTAAAAGCATGTTTATTCGCACTTAAAAGTATTTCTTAGAAAGTAGCTTTAAAAATTACGTTTAAAAAATAACTTAAATTCGTACAAGAGTTCATCATTCATTCCACCTCTTGAGTTACCATTTCTATTATCATAATCAAAAGCAAAAACATTAAAGGTTAGAAAATCCTTAACTTTATAAGCGGATCTTTCAACAAAATATTAAAAAAATGTCAACATGCATGAGCTACCATTTTGTCAAAAATTGACAAGGAACATTTGATTAAAATAGTCAATGTTGAACGTATATTGCGCATTATCATCATTGGCGAGGCCACATAGAGTTATGTGGGTCAAATGACATCATAGTTTTTTGGATTTTTTTTCTCTTGTTTAAAACGTAATTTTCTGTCAAAGCAGTGAGTCAACCCAATTAATTTCCCTAACCCAATGCCCAAAAAGTCCAAACCAAAATCCTATTGTAGTAACATATGATCTTATTTTCGTTAATGATACAAGTTCAAACTGTTTGGGTCCGCCCCTGATTATCATGAAGTGTTGTAAGATAATATTTGAATATGCTTAAATATTAATTAAATTAGAATTAATATCAGGGAGTAAATATATAACGTTATCGATTTGCATCATAAGATATTTTTTAAGGTTCATTACATATCAAATGGTTTAAAATGGAAAAAAAATAACTAGTATGATAATGAGTTCTACCAAATCATATTTATAAATAATGGTACTCTGCACATAAATAATTATTTTGACCACCTCCTTGACCTTCAATATGCTTGGCTTAAAGGAATTATTGGCGCACCGCAAGGAAAAGTATGTTTCCATCTGTGGTTATCATTCACTCGCTGCGTACAATTGAATAATTTCTCTCCAGACAGAATTTTTTGTGTAAAGCGAAAGTAATATAATCATACTTTGTACACAATAAATTCTTAAAATATCAATAAACACGCATTCTTTGAAAATTTGAGAGTTCAAAAACTAGGAGTTTCATTTTATTTGAATCAAATTATTTGAACATTTTCTTTTTTCAGAAATAATAAAATAATTAATTTCGATAATGGTGCGTAATATGCCAGAAACATCAAGATTTATTTTCTTTTGCAAATCGAAGGAGGAATTTTGTCCAAGATATTGAATAAAGTTATAGTCTCTCTCTCTCTTTTAATAATTAGATATCAAGTGTCAATTGTCCCAGGGCACATCTACAAGTGGTAAAAGGGAAGGGTGGAGAAATCCAACTTTACTTGAGACCGTCGCGTCAGTCAAGGGTTCGAATCCTGAAATATGGATTTGGCTTTTGAGTAAGTGTACAAACAACCTTCTACCCTGTATCCTTGGAGGCATAACCTGCGATTTACCTCTCTCACGATACTCCAGAGCAAAGGCGATGAGAGACCCTTAAGTTAGGAGTTCAACATTTAGATTATCAAGTGTCAATATATAAAAGAAGACTTGTATCCTGGCAAAATGTTTCCCTGATATCAAGGGAAATGATGGTTGATCATGTTAAAAACAACGAAAGTGTAGACAGATTGATTTGGTAGCATTTGATTGATTTTTTATTTTTCTTTTTATTTTTTAATTTGGTAGCATTTGATTGATTTTTTATTTTTCTTTTTATTTTTTAAATTGTCTATTCATGCTTCGACCGCCTAGTTTTAACCCTATTTTTTAAGCATTTCTGTATAGTCAAAAGTCTATTGGTCTCCTCGTCAATAAAATATATTTTGTTATATTTTTCGCGTTTTCATTGGATGCCTTCTGGACATGTGAAGAAAGCCGTGATATTTGACCCTATTGAGAAGTTTTGGTACAAGATGCTCAAATGTGACAGTACAATATATATAATATATAAAAAATAAATAATATTCACTCCATAATTTTTAATTATTGAATAATATTTTAGTTTAACTTAAAAAGTTAAAATTTTGCTCAT